ATAGATAATAAAAACAAATGAATCCTTTAGGTATTATCTAACACTAATGTAGCTTCTTATGGAAGCTACTTGTTCTTCTCGAAATTCGTGACAAATTGAAAAAAGATTACTTTTTCATTGAAGGCATAATAGACAGTTTGGTACCAAATTTAACCATTTTTTTGCAAAAGTTATAAAAAATAGACACTTTTCAATTGATAGTTTTTAATTCATGTACATTATCGAGTCGGCGCAAAAATCTTTCTCGTCTTGTTTTGGCATTTCCCTCTGAATTTATCCGATATATAATTTTCTTATGATAGAAAGATCGAGTCACTCTTTGTTCCCGAAATATCCGTCTTTCAAAATCATTTTTTTAAAGAATTGAACTAATTTTGAGGATTATTGAATTAACACGAGAATTGAAAGTCACATAGCTCCTGTTTGACAAAAATTAAAAAGAGTTTTTTTTGGAAAATATCGATCTTGTGGAAAATATCTGATTAAAAAGTAGGAAAAGACTTTCTATTTACGTGTAGAATATTTTTTTGTGAGAATGTATTATTAAAAATTAGTTTGCAAAGAAATTTTTTTGTAAGAATGATTGTTAAACATATGTAAGAATCTTTACTTTTACGTTTAATTTTTTAGAGAAAATATTTCGATATGTAATAAGTTCACAACCTTCACGTCTTAGATTAGTCCTTCGGTGGACAAAAAAAAAATGTTATGTCATTAAATAGTAATATTGCGCAAATACTACATAATTTAGCCCTTATTTGGGCTCTATTTTAATGAAGATTTGGAAAAAATGAATTTTGGAATAGTGATTTTTTGGAAAATGTGTAGCTAAAAATTAAAGAAAATTTTTCGACTTACATGTAATATTATTTAAGGGAAAATATGTGATTAAAAATAAATTTTGAAAAAAATGAATTTCTGAAAAAATGAGGGCCAAACATAGGCTTAGATAAACGGTTGTATTCACATTTACTTTGAAAGTTGAACTTTGTTTCTACTTCTCTACATTGTATATGCTTACTATGTTGTATTAACATTTAATCAGATTAACATTCACCCATGTAATATAGTATCATACTATTCGCTAAAAAACGACAACATTATCTCAAATTTAAATCGAGATTTGAGTTGTTAAATTTTTCCATAATTTTGTCGAGAGCTTTATTTGAAATTACCTATAAAGTAAGGATCTTAAATGCATGCATTTAATTGAGTTAGGTCACTTTTTATTAATGAGTAGATGCACCTTGTTGATGAAAAGAAAGGAAAAAAATCTATGATTGATTTGGA